GCTGTGGAAGCCAGCAAACTCCAGCCCTCCTTATTCGGCTGTCAGTTAGCCTAGCAAGTCAATTTGGGAAATGATATATTCAATTTGGGATGCTGTTCATACTGCTTTAAGATGTTGGGCAAACAGAAGTCAAAACAGCCTTCGCTCACAGGCACTGACCTATCTGGTGACTTTACTGCAGAATATCTCTCTGTTCTTCTTCCCTGACCACACTAACAGGAAAGACATATTTTTCTGTCTAACTTCTGGCCTTTATGGATTATCTTGGATGCTTTTTTTTTGCCATCAATACTCATTACATGATATGTAAACTGCCTTTCACAGGTCTTTGCTGGCAAAAAGCATGCCAGTAGGCCAAATTTATTTTTAGGATGAAGCTAGGGTCTTTGATTTTACCTGATACTGTTAGCTTTTGAAGTAATTCAGTGACAACTCCAGCATCTGCTGCTCCCTGAGCAGCTGTTGAATGACAATGGAGTAAACATTTGGTCAGCTAGAGGCAGGGTGCATTACTCCATCCGTCTTGAGGCTGGCTACTGCTTTCTTAAGTTAACTTGATTTCTTGATTTCCTGCTGTATGCTCGAGTGCATTAATGAAAAGATGAGCATAAATGAGAAAAAGCTGGAATATTATACTAAGATAAGTACTGTCAGTGTCTACTGAAGCTCATCTGTGACATGCAGGACTGAACTGCAAAAGCTACCTTTGACACATAACTTCATGCAGAATACTTGACTGCTTCTTGCTGTGCTGTGACACAACGTGTTGATATGAAAATAATAAATAATCATTTTGTATCTCTCTGCACCTCTGTTTTCTGCAGTTTACCCATATTTTTGATAATGCCGCACCACGTGCCAGGCAAATATGTCCTGATACTGTTGCTATGCATTTTATAGACATGCTGACCTCATGGATGGAGTCAGCAACCTATGCTGCATCAATAGAAAAAAAGTCCTGTCTCAGGAGGATGTTAGAGAGAGGTCACAAATGTGGAAGATGACATGTGATCACGGATTATTTAATAGAAACTATGGGCCCTGCCCTTCTTTGTTGCATGGAATTCTCTGGTATAAAGCACAATTGCTTCAATATCTGTACTTTTCATAATTGCTGTTGCATCAGAGTCCCAGGTTGCTGGGAGAAAAGGTGTAGAGACTAAGTGCGTAGAGGGAAAGGTGTGGAATTGTATTTAGATGCTTGCCTAGAGCTGGATGGTAGTTGGGCAAGCAAACCAGGCAGGTGGACAAGGTACTGGGTTGAGGTAGACTCCAAGGATAGCTTGATGCAAACATGACAAGGCTATAGATCTTCCTGTTGTCAAGAACAGCTCTTGAATGCTTAGTCTAAAATGGAACCAGACTTTACCTGGTCAATTTTTGGGTCCTGATTATCTTTTCAAGACACCTACTTTTTAGTGAGATATCTTTTCTAGCTTTGTCTCTCACAAAGGTCTAGTGTTCTCATTTTTCTCTTCTTCCTTACAAGAAGCAAATTGCCCTTCAACAAAGGCAAGATGCAGATGCTCTTGCAGAAAATCTGTTGTATCAGGGTTTATAATTGCATTCTGATCTGATCTAGAGTAAAGTTACTCGTAAGAGTTGACGACAGCTGTGTGGTCCTCTTGACTTTCTCGTGTACTTGTGTCAAGGTCTTAATCTCAGTTGTGTACTGTATCAGGTTCCTAAGAGTACCACAGTCATGTGTTACAGAAGATTTTCATATATTGCTTACACTAAATTCTGGAATAAATCTTTCCACAATTACAGTGGGGGCAGTGCTGGAAAACATCCTCACTGACTGCTAAATTTCTGTAATGAGTGACTCTTGATGTGTCTAATAGATAACGCTTGGCTGTTGCTTAATAGATCCAGTATTCGCGATCAATACGATTTCATAGCAGCCAGAAAAATTCCCAAGGCTGGTGAACATCTAAATAGATAAGGCAATGAGCTTACTTATTGAGAGAGATGGTATCCTTTTTAAGAAGTTTGAAGAGAGGGACTTGCAATGTTGATGATGAAAGGGAGCAGGAATCAAATAATGAAATGATTTATGGGCTATCTGATACAGATTTAAGCATAGATCTCTGGAGATGCATGATATCAAATCTAGCATGCATCTAAAAGAGCTCTAAATGATTTTGACATAGCATAGTGCGTTTGCACAGTAGTTACATGGCCATGCAATTTATGATCTGGTCATAGGTGCCTGAAAGTAATTATTCTCTTGTAAAATTATAATCTACTTTTCATCGTCTAGACATGTATAAGGATGCAGAGTAACTACTGTGGAGAAAAAGTAGTTTGACTTTGTGTAAGGATCCTGGTTATTAATTTTTCTGAAGGAAGAACTCAAAAGAACTTTCACTGTCTTTAAGATAACATTCTTGCCTCTTCCAGAAGTTTATATCTAGCTTCCAGGGTTTTTTTATCCTGCTATTGCCCAAACTATGTCTTATTAATGAATAGTTTCCTCGTTGCAATAAAAAGTGATTCATCTAGAAAAAAGGTCATATCTTTATAGCAAGTGATAAAGATCTGGACATAATCTAATTCACATTAAACCTGTGCAAAGAGCAAAGTTTGATGTATCCTGAAATATCTAAATTAACGTTATGTCTCTGTAAACCATTCTGCAGTCTTAAACTGAAATGACTTCAGACTTTGACTTTTGATATCTCATTAAAGGGGGAAGATAGCACACAGCCTTTCAGAGTACATCTCTGAAGTGAAGAGTTCTGAAATGAGTGTTCGCTATACCTATTTAAGATATATTAAATTTTGGGGAAAAAAGTCATTCTTTGTTAATTAGGAAAATTCTGTCCTGTTAGAAAGGGCAATATGCTCTAGGTGACCCTGCTTGAACAGGGAGGTTGGACGAGATGATCTCCAGAGGTCCCTTCCAACCTAAACGATTCTGTGAAAGGCTAAAACCCACTTATGTTTACTTCAGGGAAGCTGTGAATTATAAAATTGTTAGTTTAATGCTAAATAATTGTTTTTAAAGTAAAAGATCTGTTTGCTTCCTAATGTTGATTCCTAAAGGAGAAGGTTTCTTGAGTAAGTGTCTTCATATAAAAGCTCAAGAATTTTTAAGTTTTCCCAAAATGTTCAGTACAGATACCCTAAAAAACAGAATTTGAATGGAAGAGTACCAATGTAAGAAAATAATCAGAACTCTGTAGTACTACTTTATAGTGAATTAGGTTAAAATTTTGAGAAGTCTCTGTGCAGGTTTTCTGTAAGGAGCATGGAGTGTTTTCTGCTTTAGAGTTGTCTTGGAGTCTGATAAGAATCATTCTTATTTGGTTGCCTACCTCCATCATACCATTAACTAAAGCCTTAGGCTTAAGGCTGAGATCTCTTTTTTTTTTTTTTTTTTTTTTTTTTTTTTTTAAAGTTCAGTGAGGTTTTGAGACAATTTGAGGACCTTGGCAGCTAAATAACTCTTATGCAGATTTAAATTCTCATTAGCCAAAACTGCTAGTCATGCTGGCCAAGAGTTGCCAGTTATGCCCCATGCACACAGCATTTGATACGTTCTGACCTTGCCTTTTAAGTGATAATATTTCTTGCTGCTAGTAAAGTAGTCTTTGAAGCAAGCAGAACTCTCTATGAAAAAAACAGAAAAAGAAAAAACAGAAAAAAAACAGTTCTTGAAAAAACAGAAAAATTAGAAGGTTTACAAATATTATTCCTTAAAAGGTTATGTTGGTATTTGGATCTCTGTGGGTGTCAGTAGTACTATTTGCTGATGTAGTGTAATTGATAACCATATTTTCCTCTGGAAATGCCTCTGTGCTTATAAATAGTTCTCTTCAGTTCTAGTCTCCTGTATTGCACTATGAGAAGACATGGACTGATCCAGAGGTATTTGTGTCATGTCATCGAAGCTAGGACATCTGATATAGTGGAAGTGGAGTTTTTAGTTCCTGAGATAAATTTACATCCTTCCCTAATCTATTTAGGACAGCTATTGTTTTTATGGTGTGTTTGGTTCTTACGTCTGATATATTAGAGTATTTTTGGTGGGTGTTGGTTACTAGTTACAGGGAGACAAATACCTCCCAGATAAATGAGTGCTTGATATACAGGAAATGACAGATGATCCCTTTGGTCCTTTTTGCTACCCTGAATAAAACTGTTCTGCAAAGGGATTTTGTCCTTTTACATTATTTTTCAAGCCTTGTGAGCCACAGATAAGTGGCTTAATCAGATATAAACACACCTTATTTTCCAACTTCCTTGCTTTCTTCTTTTCAGGACAAGAGATTGTATTGAAATTTGATTTAAGACTTTGAGTGCAGGGCTGAGGTACAGGAATATTTGGTGTTGTTGCCATTAGTGCGTTGCTTAATTGCTCAGTGTCTTGATTTACAGACCCTTGGTGCTTATAATAAATATTTCGCATGTAATTATCAAGCGTTAATACTTTCACATTGCTATTGATTTTTGGTAATTGTGTAATGAGATGGCTGCTGGGAGTGAATGAATTGCAGTACATTTTGATTGAAAATTGTGTTTAGTAATAAGTAAAAAAGGGAACAATGCTCTAGGTCTAAAAACTTGCTAGATGTTTTTGTCTTGTATGTATGTATTGCGTATGTAAATACATACGTGAGAAGGAACTAGGTGGATATGTGTCTGCCTATGAAAACTTATTTATTGGTACATTGAATGGATTCCTAGCAATGCAAGTTAGTTACTTCTTATAGGGTAGAGAGAAATGAAAGTGTGTCATATAAAGTGTATATTGATGTTTTCTTATTTTTTTTTCTTTTTATATAGACCTATGACTGTGAGTCTATTTGATTCTTATGTTTAGTTTTTAATATATGTTGATGAAAGGATTCATTTTTCTTCTTGGAAGGAGTTAAAATTCACCAGCTGTGATTTCAGACATAGTAATAAATATTGAACACATTATAAATAGATATTGAACTAATTTGAAATACTTCATTTTAATTCAATTCAAAATTTATTTTTTGTTTTATCAGCAAACACGTATCTCTTTATGGTGCAAGCTCGTGGTATAATGTTGAGAGAAAATGTAAAAACAATAGGACACATGATCAGATTGTACACTAACAAAAATGCTACACTGAATGGCACAGGTAAGAATGTTTCTTATTTAATTTTATTTTTAAAACAGGTTTATGAAAGAAAATTCTAATGGCATAGCCTAATTATGAAAACCTAGACCCAAGTCCTGCTTCTCTGTAACTAGAGTGAAGGCAAAACAGTTGCTGTTTATCAGTTCACTTTGGAACTTTAGTAGGAAAAATAAAATTGTCGTAGCTGTAACAGATATCTGAATTTAATTATTATTCTTTAAGTAGTATTTTTTTAACTATGTTGTTAGGAATATGTTATTTACAAAGTTTATGCAGTCACCTGCATTATGGTATATTACAAAAATCAGTGGATACCATAAATTTTTACAAAAAGCAATTCCTCTTTTTAAGATTATCCTGAAGGAAACAATTCTAGTGACTGTCTCGCACAAACTACAATGTATCTTCCAGAAAACTTCACTTATTCTCCTTACCAGGCTTGTCCAGAAAAGCTGCCTTACATGAGTAAGTTTTAAACTGCACTTGATGTTTAAATTGGATTGCTTTTAAATCAAAATGCAGTTACTTTATATGAAATGTAATTGTGAACTAGTGCAAATATGTAGCAGAAAATAATGAATAAATGACATTTGAGAGTGGATAATAGTGCTTAGCAGAATTCTATAACTCTTATATTATTAAACCTCTTGACCTCTTTGCTAATCATCTAGTGATTTTTTTTTTAATTCTGTTTTCAAATCATTTTATTTTTTACAAATTAGATAATACTAATTACTTTCAATAATAAATGGGATTACAGTAACTATATAGAAAGTACCTGTTCTGAATTGCAAATTTTGAGGAAAAGTTAACAATTTCTTTTTAGAAATATTGTTCCTAATACAAAGATGCATGAAACAGAAACTAGTTCTCACACCTTCATCGTATATCTTTTGGTAATCATTGTTACAACATTATAAAAGAAGCTGGACAAAATCATATAGTGAAGGGAGAATTGATGGTAATAAGAAAGTTCTGAAGCTCTATCATAGTGAAAAAGTAGTACTTTCATAAAAAGTGAAAAGTTGTTGATTTCAGGAGAATTTAAAATTAATTTTTCAAACCCAGATGTTTCAGATCCCAAGCTATTAAATAAAACTTAATTATGTAACCCTAATTCTTATGCAACTTTATACCTAAAATCTAAACTTTTAATTTTTTATATAAAAATACTTACCTGTTAAGGAGTTTCATGCTGAATTATGGAACTGAATTAAGTTCTTTCGCACCCTTTTGTTCTGGTTTGTTGCATTTTCTAAAATCAGTAATATCACGACGTTCCTAAGCAGCAGTATCCCAGTGTATGCAGAACATCTATTATAAGCAGGTGTTGTACAGTTAAAGCAGTTACATGAATTGAGACAGAAAGAGGTTCTTGATGTAATTCAGTATCCTTAACCTAATTTAATAAAGTAACTGAAAGATAGTTGGCCTGACTTTTCTACCTTCTACATCTGTAGTCTACAGCGTGTATCTTTGGGAAAATTCTTTAAAATGAGAAAAATACAGTTCTTGTTAAAACTGTGCAATTTCATGTAAATTCCCCTATCCTGCAAGCTTGTCATTGTTCTGCCTTCCCCAGAAAAGAAAATTAGGTTCACACAAAGCCCTGGGCATTTGCACTCCTCAAGCTTGTACAGAAAGCAAACCTGCAAGACCAGGAAGTGTTAGGAGACTGTGGATTTGAACATAAAAAGGAAGAGAAAAGTGGCTCCTGGTGGTGATTGCTTTACCTTGTCCTTCACAACTCATGGTTTGTTTTTTGGGAGATTTTTATGTTGAACCTTTATAAAATTGCAGCTCCTTGGATAAAACAGTGTTCCTCTTTAGGAACTACTGTTGACATGTGAGTTCATTTACTTTTTCCTACCAGTTTTTTCTTCTCTGTGAGTAAGTGTTGTTTCATTGACTGAGCTGCTGCTGTAGGTTGCCAGGGGCGATTAAGTAAAGTGTTTTCTATGTCCTATATTTGGAAGAAATCATAATTTGTGTCAGTAATGCATGGAATTATTTGAGTTCTTTCAAATGTTTTATATACAGACTTCATATTAAATCTTTGAGGAAAGATCTAATAGCAGCATTAATATAGATCTCAAAGATAATTAGTTAAATTGAAATGTGTCATTTGCTGTGAGAATGCCCCAGCTAGAGAAGGAGAATCAACAGCTCTCTGTGAATAAGTGTAAAGTTGCCAGAAGCAATTGTTAATTAGTGTCTGGCAGTATCTGTTATGTTAAAATGTTCATTTTTAGTTGTCATATTTAAAACTAAACTACTGCTTTATACAGACAAAAATTTGCAATGGTTTATAAATATATTTGGGACACTTTTAAAAATTATTGCTTTATCTTTTAGGCAAACCCTTCATTTAAATTGTGGGCTGTCATTCAGCATGAGCAAGTATGCAAATAATTATTTAATATATTAATTCAAATCTATATCATACCAAATGATGTTATTGACATCCAAGTATGCCACTGAATTGCTGACCGTTTTTTTCTTAAAAGAAAAAAGTATATTTTACAAGTCTGATCAACAAGTAGGGAAGACAGCTTTAACAAGGCAGTAGTTACAAAGAAGAAATTATTTTAGTATTTTTGAGGACTGATGCATATGGTAGAAATGATCTTTGTATATCAGCACAGGAAGAGTGCTTTTCGACTGAATTTTGCTTTACTGAATCAGTAATAGAAACATATTTTAATTGACATTACTAACTAGTTTTACATAATGATTTTAATTCGCTGAGATACACTGATAATAAGCAATTCTATTTTCTCCAGTGGCTCATTTGATTACTACTGTATTTCCAAAATATAAATGCTTAGTCCATTATCCTTTTTAAAACATCAAGTGTTATTCTGCATTTTCTGTGGTGAAGTATTTTGATTGCAATAATTCTTTCTTTGGGGAGTGGGGGTATTTTGTTTATAATTTATAATTTTAAAGCTGTGCTTCAGATAACAAGTGAATTGCTATAAAGTAGGTTCCTCAGATTTAGTGTTGATTGTCCTGCTTTTCAGAGAAGAGATTCTTGCAAAATTTGGAATTCACAAACGTTATATTTGAAGTGCCTACCTATGTAGAAGTCAGCTGGAGATTGTTTCAGAAGTTGTATAATATGTATATAATGTAGTCCAAAAGCTCATATTTTCACTTAAAACCAATTTTGTCATAACAGAGTACTTCTATAGCCTCTGCGCTACTGTTTTTAGCAACAAAGTTTGTTTTTCTTGAGCTAGATAGGTATTCAGAGCAGTTGTTTGCTTTGATGGTGGAAATATCTGATCGAGTAGAATATAAACATGAATATAGAATATAAACTTGAAAAAGATAATTTTCCAAATAGGTTAAGTACTTAATGGTCATATGTTTATAAAACATTTGATATGGCAAAATCTAAATCTGGAAGTTAGTTAAATTAATAGCAAAACTAAAACTGGCATCAACGCTAATGGAATTGGTGTTTTTTTTTCCCTATTATTTTGATTGGAAAAAAAGTTTCCATTACACTTTTTTAATCTCAACAGAAATGTTCACTGAATGAACAGCACAGTAACACTGCTTATTACCTGTGTTTCATTGTAACGCCTCTACATTCTACCTCTACATTTGTCTGTTTCATTTTAAAGATACAGCCATAGAGCCGAAAGTATGAATCAGTTGCTGTTGCTCATGAGCTTGCTTGTATAGAAAACTGTCTCAAGCCGATTAGCCACAGAGTGGTTATGGCCTTATTTCAGTCTCTTCACCTCCAGAAGTTGTATGTGAATTTCAAAATCTGTTGACAATGTGTTAGAAAAAGCAGTTCTTTTCTATAACATTACACATGTAAACAGATAAAAGTAAGTTAATTCAATATAAGAACAGGGCTGATGATTATGCTGGTTGAAAAATGCATCTAAATTAGTATTTGGAATGAAACTTGTAAGAGATCTGCTGGATGAATTCAGACAAATTTAGTTGTAGGAGTTCAAAATTGCGTTACCCTCGTGCTGCCCCACCTATGTGTTAAAACTTACTGTCGAGGAGTGGAGGGACAAAGTGAGTCAAAATATGTCCATTTTTCAGCCTAATTTTAGCATATTATCTTAAATCAGTAATGCAGGTTTGTTTGTACTAAAATGCTGAACTGTCTTTAAAGTAGGGACTTTCATGCTATTTTGCTGTCAACCTCATCTATATGTAATTCTACAAAAGTTTGTTATAAATCTTCTGATTTCTCCTTTCTTTCTCATTCTTTTTGATAGTTAGTAATCTATTTGTCTGTACTTAATCTATCCTCCTGAGTGTAATAGAAAATAATAATTTTAACAGGAAATAATTCACTGGATAAATTGCTGTTCAGCAAAGGCATGTCTGTCCCACTCTTTGGTTTTCATGTATTCCTTTTTAATACCTATCTGTATAGTTAATTATAATCTCTAAATAAAACTCCTTTGAAGATTTTTTTAATGCAGTGATATGTTGCAGATGGGAGACAGTGAGGGAAGACTGCTTCCTGAATCGCGTGTATTTTGACCTGCTTAGTAGCCTAAGGTTATAGAAGTCAGTTGACTTCTTTACCATGCTTTATGTGACTGAATTTAACTTGTGGAATTTGTATCCTGGAAGGAGTAAGGTAAAATCATATTTTGTTCCAAGTAGACATGATCTTAAAATCATGTATGCAAATAATGTATGCAAATAATGTCTTCTGTGTGTGACTCAGACTTCTTGGTTACAACCCACCTGTTGAGCACTACTGTGCCAACTCCTAACAGGAGCAAGACACCTCTTCCTCAGGATAGAAGCAGTACAAAAAAGTATTGAATCAGCATAATTTTAATACTGGCTTGAGAGGTAAATAGAAAGGAAATCAACTGTTTCAGTGATATAAAATAAAACCTTCATGTCAAGGTCATCTCAGCATCTAAGAAGTTTGCCCATTACTGAATGTTATGTCTAAGAGGAGGCTATATAGTGAGCTATAAGGAATATCCAGATCTTCTAGTTTGATTGCCTCAGTACACTGGGTTTAAAAATACCTGGACCATTTCTAATAGATACTAATTTACTAATATTAAAAAAAAAAAAAATCTTCCAGAGGAGGAAGTTCTGCTGCCTCCAGATGTCGTATATGACAGTGTGCCATCAGTCAAACAGTTAAGTTAGTCCTAATTTTCAGTCTGTTTACTATTTTTTTTATGCAAGTTAGTCTAATTTCTGCTTACCTTTTTCCATTAGGATTGGAAAACGGTTACCATCTATATACTAATTTTTTCTGTCTTAGAATTCTAAGACTTAACATTATTGTCAGTCCTTTCCATTGTAGATAAACCCAGTTCTTTCAGCTTTCTAAAGTGCATTGTTTCTAACCCTGTTGTCATTCTTGATTTTTGTGTTGTAGACTTTCTCTAACTTGATTTCCTTTTAAAGAGCCATAACCACCTAAAGCCTGGTAGCATTAAGGAAACAAACTCAGTAATCACCTATTCTTTCTTTCATAGAACAACTACTCATGTATTCCAGAATGATATTTGCCATTTTTGTACAATAGCACTGCGTGATATTGTCTAACATTAATGTGTAAGCTATTATAAATGCTCAGAATCTCTTTCTGCATACTGCAGCATAGCCAGGTAGCTCCCATTTTGTGTATATGCTTCATTTCTCCTTTAAGTAGCAGTCTGTATTTTTCTTTCTTTTTTTTTTAATTTCACCCTATTGATTTCAATACCTGTTTCCAATTTTTTGAAATTATTTTGGTTTTGAATCTGTCCTTCAAACTGCTTTCTGTTTCCTTAACTTTCTTTTTTTTTTTTGCAGATTATATGAATCTATTTTTTATTGCAACATGCTAGACGTGGTTGGAGGTAGCAAATATTAAGCCCACTGCAGACCAAGCTTGAGATGCCTTCTCCTACCTCCCTCAAACTGACAATGAAATATCACTGATTTTAAAAACTTCTACACCTTCTTGTTAATTATTACATGCGTATCATATTTTTCTCTGCATTGTGTAATAGAACACTGTGCTCCTATGTCAAAAACTTAGCATGGCAGATGCTTTCCCTCTACTCTGCTAGACTGATTACCATATCAAAGAAAAAAAAATGAAGTAGCTTTGATACAATTTATTTTTGGGGGAAATTTTTTTTTTTCATCCCCTTATAATATTAAAAAAAATGATTGTTTAATAATTTGTTTCAGAAGAAGAACTTTTTTACCGAAGTTATTTCTGTAGCCTTTAAATCCTAAACACCTTTTTCCCTTACAAAAAAAAAAAAAAAGTAGTTATTTGTATTGACCCTTCTCCTGTATCCTTTTGATAGGACTAATCTTTCAGAGATTACTATGGCTAGTTTTTAAACTCTCTGGAGGGTGTTTCATTATCCCCACCAAATTACATGCATGTGCCTTATCTAAATATGCTCAACCAGTCCTGGCCCTGGCCCCTGTTTTTTTGCTACATTGAAACTCAGCCTCTGAGTGACAGCTAAACTGTTCTCAGAAGAGCAAGGCGTCTGAATCCTTTGCATCATGTGTTGTTTACTTCCTTTTCTAGTGTAGTAATTCTCTTTTATTTATCTTTATTTTCCTATTGGATTCTATAAATAGACTAGGTGATTTTTGTTACTTCTCTGTCTTTTGATAGTATAAATTGATTTTATTATTTTTTAAAATTTATTTGTACATGTTTGTACTGTATATACTGGCGTTGTGTTGTATGTCCTCATTTCTATTTTTTATATGGTTTCTTTTTCGTTTTCAAGTTATTGAAAAGTTTCATAAAAAACTGCAGTGATTATCATCTATGCTTCTTTTGTAACCCTGTGTAGGATTGGCTTCTTCTGGGATATTTTTATACAGTCTTCTTTGGGAACTGCCAGTTTTTCTTCTCTTTCTAAGAAAATGTGGGTTGTTTAAATCTACTTTTAGAATGTCTTTTCCTGATTCTGTTACTCTTGATCAAAATTACCTTCTACATTTATATTTACAATTAGTTCTACATTATTGATCAGATCCAAACCTAAAAGGGCTCTTGCAGTGTCTTCTACTGTCTTTTGAAACCAGTCGTTGTTCTCCAAAAATGTATACCTTTCCAAAAGATTTAGAAAGTTAATCATTTGGTGTGCAACATGAAACAATCACAAAATACTTTCATCTTGGTCGCGTGGGTACAGGGGAGAAAATGGGTGTCATTTATTCATGTCTTTAAAATTCCAACCCTCTCCAAAAGACTTCTGAATTTTATGACAAAATAAGTAGAATATTTTATGAAGTCTGTCAAATAGTTATTGCAAGATTTTTATTTGATGTTCTAATATAGTAGTTACTGAAGAGCAATTTGAGCTTCTTGGTTACTGGATATTAGACTCTTCTCCCTGAATTTTCATGGTTCTCTCTGTTTTTGCTTTTCAGGGTAGACGACTTGCTATAGATCATCTTTTCTAGTTTTGAAGTTTACACACATGAATAAGCTAAATGATACACAACTCTTAGGTGTCAACTAATTCTAAATATTTCTCATAAAAAACAGTAATTGAGTTTTTTCATACCATATTACAGTCTATACTCATTATCTTGCTGAATTTTCTTCTCTCATCAGTAGACATCTGCGAATGGTTTTCCCATTGGGCTAATTAGTTCTATCAGTGATACTTCTCAAATTCGCCACTTGCTATATATTGGTCTGATGCACACATTGGTGAATTAATAGGTGAAGGCTGTTCATGAACTGTGCCTAGCTATTTAATATTTATATTGAGGAAGCTGGTTGAGTACAGTGATGGTGCATCTCCTTTTGTGTCAAGGTGCATGCAGGAAGAATTTGAACAATTCAGTAGTGCAGATGGTGTGAAATCATTAAGAATGATACTTAAAATGAAAGGTGACTTCCAATTTTCTGGAAGAGGTACAGAGTTCAAATTATTTTGCTTGTTTTGTGTCCTCTGAAATGATAAAAGTATTTTGCTTGCGAGATTTATATTGGGAAACACTGGCATTCATTCTATAAAAGCTAAATATTAAAGGAAATGCTATAAATTATCTCTTTTTTACCTGCTGGTAGTATAAACTTATACTTATAAAGTATAACTTATACAATTCGATCTGTTGTCTTAATTGAAAGGAATAAATATAGCATATCTTCCTGTGTTTAGGAGGCCTTGTCGATGTCAATATGAGTGAAATTAGTTTTGATGAAATTCAAGAAGTTTTTTCAAAAGATTTGGACATTAGACCAGGAGGACACTGGAAACCAAAAGACTGTAAGCCACGATGGAAGGTGAGATAGTGTTTGTTTTTTTGGCTTTTTTCTGTATGTGCACAAAAGTAGTTGACAGTCGCAAGCCCTCAGTCTTTTACAACTATACATTTTATATGAATGTAGTATATGCATTATATGCTGCTTGCGTTCAAGAAAAGATTAAAGCTTGTAGAAAAACTTGAACCGGATTGTCATGAACTTTTAGAAGTTCATGAACTTTATTTTGTCATGTGGATGCAAACTTGTATCCTGTGTGTGTGTGGCTCAAAGTGTTCTTAGAAGCAAATGAACATTCAAAGAAAATTTTATTTAGCTTTCATTTCAAAATTATTTGTTCTTTTTTAATTGCTTGAGCTAAATTCCAAGCCGCTTTCCTAGCGAGAATGAAAATACTGTAAAACTTTAAGCCAATTTGAATATAAAAGTTGAAGAGCCTATGTAAGCCACAGAAGACTTAATTTGTATTGCAATATTTAAATTCAAAAATGTTAATACCTTAACATATATAACTTTTTAAAGGTGGCAATCCTCATTCCTTTTCGGAATCGCCATGAGCATCTTCCAATTTTTTTCCGGCACCTGATACCTATGTTGCAGAAGCAGCGTCTGGAATTTGCCTTCTATGTTGTTGAACAGGTAACAACATTTACTTGAAAAGTGACTCTTCAGGATTCCTTAGTAAATGAGATTTGACATTATAATCAAGATTTGAATGAATCCAAAATTTAACGAATTATTGCTCTGCTGTTCTAATTCGTTCAGTGAAAAAGAAAAAAGTACAAATTCGTTCCCCAAATTAATCTATAACCAGAGACATGTTGCTTTTCTTCAAATACAGGTTAACGTTTTATTGCTGATAACACTGCTCTGTCAAATCTATTTTCTTTATAAGGTTTTCATAGTAAAAAGTATTAGATTTTATGTGTAAAAAATTGAAAAAGGTCATTTGCAGAAGGCCATTTTGCAACACACCCTCATTGAAATACAGTCAAAGACAATAGCTTTAAAGTATATGCTATCTAGTATAGTAGGCCACAAAAGTGAAATATAAGGGAAATATCCATGATATAAAGTTACACACTAGCACCTTGGCTAGGAGTCTCTTCAGAAACAAAAAGGAATGGATATAAAGGAAAAAACTCTTTTTTAAAAAAAATCAAAAAAACTTCTGCAAGCCACAGTCAATATGCCAAGTAGCTCAGAGTGTTAGCCTAAGGACCATTGTTGACCATACTAATTAGGTAGCTGATCCCAGAAATTACTGGGCTTATTTTTCATGGGCTGTCTTATGCAATATTTTCAGATGACAAAAGTGAAAAAACTACAGAAAATAAAGAAAAGGATCTACTAAATTCTATTAAAAATTGTCATGTATAATGCATTTGTTATATCAAAAGGTCTTATAAATTGTATTACTTTTTCTGAGCTTAGAAAAATCTTAATTATTCCAAATTGAAATATGGAGATTTAACTTGTACTAGAAATGAAAAGAATTTGAATCAAACCTTTAAGATCTCTAGGAAACTGGAAGTATGTTCTCATATAATATTAACTATAAATATGTAATCAAGTTATAAGCCTTTGCACAGCATATGAAATTCTTTAATTTCTTGTTAAAATAGACTATTTAACTTAGCATTTCATATTTAATATGTATCAGCATTTCTTTAACTGGTAACGTCATGCTCTATTGATCAAGAACACCCATATTTTGATACTTTACAGTTAATAGTGCTGTAAATTGCCAGTGCTGTTAAGTTTTGTGCAAGAGCAGACCTTATATACTTTCTAAATCAGAAAATGCAGCTGATGTAGTTGATGCTAACCAGAGCTGCTGCTCTGGTTAGAGCAGTAACAGGCCACTTTCACAATGCTTTTTTTTATGCAATGGATGAAATATTTCTCATGTTATTGGAGCAGTTTCTCTTTGTTCTTGATCCTTACAATTTCCCCTTTGTTTTGTGTTTGAAGACAGGTACACAACCTTTTAATCGTGCAATGCTCTTCAACGTTGGCTTCAAAGAGGCTATGAAGGATGTTGTTTGGGACTGCATAATATTTCATGATGTGGATCACTTGCCTGAAAATGACCGAAATTATTATGGATGCGGAGAAATGCCACGTCATTTTGCAGCAAAGCTGGACAAATACATGTACATGTAAGTAATTAGCTTTATTTTTTTCCTAAAGACCCAGAAACATTGTTAAAGTGTGTTTTAAATCTGTAATGTCTACAGTAGAAGAAAACGATAAAAAAGCCTTGTACCATACTCTTTATGTAAATGAATATCTGATCATTCCCTATATAAAAGGGAGACTTAAGTTTAGTGAGCTTAGATTTAGACATTGCTAGTTTAAAATATTATTTAATATTTTCAGTGTTCTAACTTGATGACCCAATATTTGTAGCACTGAGGTTGATCTTAAATTATAGCTATCTGTGTTAAAAGTGAAAAATTTGTCTTGCTTATTAGACAGCTTTTCTGGCTGCATAAGCATCTGCATTGACCGTATTCTGAAAACTGGAAATCACACCACCTGGGCCTTAATGTGTTTTGTTATATAGCTATCGAGGCTGTTCATGTTGGCCATCTACTTGTTACTTAATAAGTATTTATTAATAGTCAGTGTATGTGCACTGGCAAAAAGTCTATGTATTTTCTTGATTGAAAAGTTTAGCTTGTGAAAACTGCAGAACTCAGAGGGGTTTTTTAATAATACATTTTTTACTGCAGCTGAGTACATGCTATTAGATGGTTGCATTTTAGTTTTTCACAGTTCTGTAGAATATGGACATAAATTAAAATTGCTAGATTGGATTACTTTTAATTTTTTCAATTGAATAAAGGGAAAGTTTTCAATTGAATAGCATCAAAATACAAAAGCTTGAAGGCTTCACTTTACTCTTCATTCAGCTTTAGGTCTAAAACAACCATCTGAATTACACAGTAGACTTATTTCGTGTGATGGTACTAACTTGAACTACTGCGTAATGCTACCTTTTATACAATCAGACAGTACTGCAAACATTTTATTTAGCTTCTTCGTGTCTTTGTTAATGCCAGTGATCTGTAAGCCAAATTTCCTTAGTGGATACATTCAGCATCTGTTCCTCTCCTTAGTTTGAGGTTTTTCATTCTTCTAGTTTTATTGAAAGGTATCTTTAAAAGAGAGGATTCCTTACCTAGGCTCAGCTAATAAAAAATGTACTATCATTTTCAGTCTTCCTTACAATGAGTTCTTTGGCGGTGTAAGTGGATTGACAGTAGAACAATTCAAAAAGATCAATGGGTTTCCAAATGCCTTTTGGGGATGGGGTGGAGAAGATGACGATCTTTGGAACAGGTAAATGTTCAGTGCTTATGTCTTTCTTACTGTTCTGTCATATCCACCTCTTGATGGTGATTAGATTTTTTTTTAAATTGTTTCCCCCCCCCCCTTTTTTTTTTTGGCTTTAAATGAACAAATTCCAACATTTTAAAGGGTTTCCTTTAGAATATTAGGACATACTATTTAGAGATGTTTGTTCTTCTTGGTCTATGAACAGTTAGCAGGCCTTTCTGAGATAGGTCTAATAATAGTATTAAACATATATAGGCTCATTCCTTCTATTCCTCTGTGTATTCCCTTTTGATTTGCATTTCTAGTTATGTTGCTGCTAGCATTATGAAATAGCATATCACAGACTGTGCAGTAAACTTGAGTTTAGGTATCTTTCATATCTTAGGAGCAGTGTCCGACAACTTATGCTGTAACTATATTGACAGTTACAAATAGGACAGTAAAGCTCACTGTATAGGATATTAGTAACTGCTTACAGTAAAATATGTTAAACCATTTTCAGTTATTCTGAGTTGTTTAAACTAGATATCTCTATGAGTTTATATATATATGTGTGTGTGTGTGTGTGTGTGTGTATATATATATATGTATGTATTTTAAAGGAACAGGTCTTGTAAGGATAAGTTTAAAAACATACTATTTTCACATTTTTTCACGCTGTTGTGCCATAAGAATAAATCAGCAAATACTAAATATAAAATGATTAATCTAGCACAATTCAGTGGTTTTGCCAGCTGTATTAGTTCGGGGATAGAAGTCTCTTTTTGTCTCTTTGACAAAAAGAACTAAAAAAAAACCCCCCCTTTTTTTTTTTTTTTTTTTGAAACAGAGGAACTTTTTTATGGAGAGAATGTCAGTGAATGCAAAGAGTCAGCTTTAAAAGATGTGATGCATATTTTTCACTCTTGCTGCAACTTGTAAACGCATCTTTTTCATATTCTTTATACAAATTTTTATATTTTTACTGTAGGGTTCACTATGCTGGATACAATGTAACAAGACCAGAGGGAGATTTAGGGAAGTACAAATCTATTCCTCATCATCACAGAGGTGAAGTCCAATTTTTAGGACGGTAAGCGAAACAGGAAACTGTTAAATACTAGAGCTAAAGGTATAAAGATTTTTATCTTGTATACATCTTCCACACATACAAATAAGCAGTCAGTACCTATCAGTACTACTCCTCCTTTAGTGCTAAACTCAGTATTTTCTTAAAGCTCGATATGTTTGGCTGTGTGGGTTTTGTTTTGTTTAACTGTGAGAAAGGCTAAGTCTATGTGCCAGAAGATATTGTTATCATACTTTCTGAAGCAGAATGTTACTGTTCTGTTATTGCAGGACACTATTTTATTGTCATACTTCTCTATTTGGGCATTAGTGTTGGAAGAGCTCCCCTAGTTTTTATATTTAAACATTCTTCAAAGGAAGCAGTACAGCTTGTGTGAAAAGAGACTTTAAAAAGGATTGGTTTCTTTGGTCATATTTCTTTCTTTTCTAAGATACAGGTCTTCTAGGTCTTTCCTGTTTACATTCACGTGACCTTTTTATTTCTAGATTCCTCTCTTTTGCTGCAAAGATGCAAAATAGTTTAATTGGCCAGTAAGTTCTGGCTGCCCTGAAATAGAATAGCAGCCAGAATGTAGTAGTTGAGCTATATCTAAAAGTTAAAACATGTAACACGGAATAAAAGGTTTATGGTGAATGTTTAAAAATAATTAGAAGGACTGCTTGTCATATCAGTGGTTGTCTCTTTTTCTGAGAACATCTTTATTTAAAAATTATGAATAAAGCAGAAAATAAACATAAATCGTGTACGCTAGGAGTAAGTAGATATGTGATATGAAACTAAAGGGTACGTATCAGTAATCTGAGGGCATAAAAATTTGTTTTTAATCACCTCAGATTTAATGTTTTCAAGTGTAGGAGACTTAAGGTTAAAATTAAAGAAATTCAGACATTTAAACGTACAAGGATGCACGATGAAGGCACCTAAATCTTCTCTAGTGATGTATTAAAGCAAAAGAATGTGAAAAAATTGAATGTCCTTTAAAAATCATTTTAATTTGAGACCGCAAAAATATGTACATTAATTGTATGCTGTCCTTTAATCTTATGTTAACTTCTGTCTGGGAATATAAAATGTAAGTGAATATCTGATGTTTTAAAAAAAAAAAAAAAAAAAACTTGCAAAAAATAGCTGGCTTTTAAAGCTTAGGTAGGTAACTTGGTAATTTCTAAGTACTGAGAGCTACTTTCAGAACTGGAAGCATCTAGTATTTCAAAATGAAATGACTGTTACAGTGTCATACCTAACATCAATTAAACTGTTTCTTGCAAATCTTTCTCATGTTTTCTCCTTCCAACTCCCTCTACAGATACAAACTTCTGAGGTATTCCAGAGAACGACAGTACATTGATGGGTTGAACAATTTAATATATACTCCTAAAATACTTGTCAGTAGGTTATATAAAAATATAACTGTAAATCTTATACCAGAACTTGCTCCTGTTAGAGACTATTGATGGAGATGGAATGACAAGCTACGCTACTGGAGTAAACATTAATATTGGAAGCTACTAATAGACAATTACAGACACTAAAAAAACAAAAAGCAAAACAAAATAAAAAAAAAAGAACAAACAGCAGCTTAGAATTTAGGGATTTTTGACCATTTAATGATGCATATTTGGGATGAGAAGTAAAATGATTGTATGTACCATGCATTTTGTTCTGAAGGAAAAGCCAGCAGCTACCACTCAGATGTTTACAGCATGAAACTACTGTTCAAGCCTTCATTCTCCATGTTCTCTATCTTAACTGCTCAGTTAGCTAAACTGCAGAAACAGACCTGTAGCTTCTCTGGAAGTTGGGAGGAAAGCCTCTTCTTCCAGGAATTTTTTATACTCCTTCCCTTCCTCCCCTCCCCGTATTTAAATGAATGCTTTTGTTCCTTTTTAAACCGTGTTTTGTAAATATGTGATGTAAATTAATGTGTGTACATTGCTTTTAAATTGCTCAATATTTTATGCTTCAGTATGTGTTTGAGTGTGTTTTTGCTTAAATTCTGTAGGAATGTTTTTATTAGCATGAAAGAACAAGTGTAAAATGTAAGTATGCTTTAAAAAGGTTATACCTTATGTGAAATGAAGGAAATATTAATTGTTGGCCAGCTATGACTGTAAACTGTTATACTAGTTTTGAGCTTTAGGCCTCTTGCATATCTGTATAAAAGAATCAATTTCATATAGGAACTTGCTAGAAAGAAAGCTTTTAATTTTATTTATTGCCAGAAAAATCCTATGATTCTCTGCCTGCCATCTAACTCATATTTATATGCATATTGCATGTGTATTATGGAAAGTTATGTGGTGGTTGTGTATTATGATCTGCAGGAGCTCCAAGTGTTTCCACATGTGCCACTGGTGTCAATGTCAAGGATTTTAATGCCTAAAACAATGTGTCTAGACACGTACCAAATTTTTGTATTGTTCTCTCTTTTTTTTCTTAATCCTAGTAAACAGCACTTTTATTCCTCCAAAATCAGAAGAGCCAAAAAATGTGTCTTCAATGGAAGAATATTAAAGTTATGTTTTTAAGAAAATAATAAAACATAGTCCTAATGCTTGCAGTGTGGGATTTTCAGAAACACACAGTGTTGGTCAAATTATTCCACTGATTATGATGGCCTAAGTGGAACTGAAATTAGGCCAGTCCCAAGTGCTTTTTAAAATTCCACCTTTAATATATTAATCAATATAGTTTTTTAAGGGCCTATTCTAGTAGAGTGCTAAATACGTCTACAATGCACTCAGTATCCTCAAGTCTATGACTTTCAATGAGATTGAGGTGGCGCAGACCTACTAAGGATGGGTCCTATCTATTTCTCTGTTTTTGTGGTGTTAAATGTATAAGCAATTAGGCTCTCTCCTTGACTTAGAACAAAAACCATATCTTCAAATTTTATGTTTGCTTGTAATGTTGTGCTACCTAAAAGGATCCCATTCCTAAGCATCATCTTTTCCTAATATTTTTATACATCCCATGTTAATACTAAGGAAATGGACTGAATTGTTTATTTTCTATGTTAATGCAAAGATATTGACCGAGAACTACTGAACTGTTTTGTTTGTCACAATTTCAGCTCTTTAAGAACCAAAGACTGACTTCTGTTCTCATGAAGAATGGAAAGCAGTATGTGATGAGGATTGTTTATCAATAGACTGTTCTGTAAGAGTGATGACAAAGAATACTAATTTTAACTCATTACTGTGTGTTGGTCTCCTGAATTATTGCCACAGATAGTGTGGTGCTGTGTATATTTAAAGGAAGGGGGGGGGTTGCCATAAATGCTTTTTTCCTTGGCATCCCAGCAGTAAATTTTGCCCTTAGCCATTCTTAAGCAAAGTTATAGCTTATTTGTAGACATCTCAAGTATTTTATAGAAATGTAATGATTTGATTGAAGTAGTTGAGGGCACGTGGTAAGGGATATTTTAAACCATATTGGAATGACCTTAAAATCTATCAGTTAATCTAATATGCTTTAGCAATGATGTAATGCAATGCAAATAAGAAAAAAAGTGAATATAAAGTGAACAAAACATCCTTCAAAAGCACGCTTAAATGGTTTCATTACCTCTTGATATATTTTCCTATAACTGAGTGTTTAGAATATTCTGAGGCATATGGGAAAATACAAAATAGTTATATACTGTATGAACCATTATATCCTCAAAATAAACTTGGTCTTATTTCGTAACAGACTAATACAATTCTTTAAGGAGTGATGAAGTGAATAATTTTTAAATCCCTGATGTAATTTTGAAGTGATTTCTGATTTTCAGTACTTACAATTTCACACCTTTGAGTATGAGGCATCTATCAGTACTGTAGGTCTGTACCTTTTTCTGAAGCATGCTTTTGTGCCCATTTGTTAAGAATGTGGAAGGCATTCTGTGAAATTGATGTGCAATTTTTATTCTAGTGCATCTATATATATGTATATATACATATATACATCCTATATTACACATTAATATACTGTAGCTGAACTAATATAACTTAACAGATCTAAGTGATTAATCATGTATGGTCTTAGAAAAATGTGATTTCAACCAGTATGTGAATGGATTATGACATATAGCTGAGTTACCTTTAAAAGTTTAAATATTAGAGCCCCAAGGTGACATATGTTAAATTATGAAATGTTAACCAACAGTCTTCTCTAAATATCTTTTATCACTTTGTTGGGAAATTTTAAAAGTTGACAAATTATAGTAAAATAATATATGTATACTACCTGCTTGAACTCAGAACTATTCTGTAGTGAATTTTAACATAGTGCCTTCAAACAAAATAAATGAGATGCAGAACTAAGTGTTATGCACGTTCCTTTTGATATTTTCATAATTCTTGTAAAAATACAGAGAGGAGCCAACCACATTGGCTTTGCCATTCCTGACAAGGCAAATTAAGTATGTCTTCTCTCCAAGGATTTAACATGGAGAAGATAGAGGAAGTATTCTTCAAGATTCTGAAGGCCTTGCAAATTAACGAGTAAAAACATTACAGAAACATTTACAGTGGAATCTAGTTGATATGCTAAGACACTTTTAAGCCCACCTGCTGTATTTTAAATTTAAGTAGGAATATATAAAATATAAAATCCATTTTGAAATAGAGATTATATTGAGAAACAAGCGCAAAGTATATGTTCTTTTTGGATCTTGCAGGTCTATTTTTCTATCATTATGTTTACTAATGCTATGTTGTAGTGGGTAACTAATGAGACAGTTATATAAAAATATTGAAATGACATATTGCATATCAGCAAGAGGAAGTGTACTTAAGATTATCTTATTTGTAGACGTATGTTAAGTTAGGCTTAATGAAAAATGCACTGAAACAAATGCTGGGAATTTCCTGTGTACTATCATAATTTTGGTTTTTGTTTTGATGTTCATGAAAATGTTTGTACTTTTTTATCATTGTCTTTTATGAAATATAACGTTCTAAACATTGTGTTGGTTTGTTTATTCTGAGGTGTTGTGGAAGGCATATGTTCACTTTGTTTTGTGTATAACCAAAGTGCTCATTTTTCCTAATGTTCAATTCCTTTAAGTGGCAGCAAAAGGAAGGGGAACTTGGCCAGCAAATACATCAGGTTAGACTGTGATGAAATCGAAGCCTTAGGTTAAGGGGTGTGTTCCCTTTATTGGTATTTTAAATGCTTTGCGTCTGTCTTCAGTCTTTGAATTTTCTAGGCTAAATGACTCAACCTCTTTGCCTACTTTTCCATAGTAGGTTTACTATGCTATTGAATGTCCTAATGGCTCTTTCCTGTACTTAATTTTCTTTGGAAGTAGTTTTCCTTAGATATGGATACAAAGAATGTGGAGTAGAAGGATTCATCCCTGTTTCTCTTGGCATTAAATAGGGAGTTGATTTTCTTAGGAATCATCCTTTTCACCTGTTCTTTGTATCTTTCATGTATTACAGAAGTGTCTAAAGGTTAGAGCTGTGCAAGTAATTTTTGGGAGCGCTTAAACTGGGACCAAAAGTACTTGCAGAATGCTATGGTAATTCACAAATAAAGTTCTACAAGTATGTTTTTATTGGATATATTTTCTGCTGTATTAGATATGGTACTCCTTGAACATGTTAGCAGTTATGGCATATTGAGAAGCAGGAGAGGGGAGTTTTCAAATATGTGTAGCATCCTTAGTATGGTTAAAGGGTATTGAACCTTACTGTCACTCAAAAGCTGTTTCTGCATCTGTATCTTTAAAAGCTGAAGTGGGAGATGAGATTAATTATTACTTTGTGGCACCCTGCGTAATGGTCCCATGTTATTTCATCTATATGGAATACTGATTATAACAAATGAGAGTGTGCATTTCCTGTACTTTTCCTTATTATGAGAGACTTTTCAAATGTATTCTGTTCACTCCTTTGCAAGAGGGGATGCAGTTAACTAGCTTTATGCAAGATTTTGATTTGTTCGCAGAATCTTAGTAGTGGGGTTTTAGTGCGTTTGTTCCAACCTTAATCCATTTTTGCCATCTCTAAACAAGTGTTTCTCTGAATACTTTGATTCAGAAGAGTAGTTGAAAAGAAAGTCAAGACATGTTCTTTCTAAAGTTAACAAAGTGAATAAACCACTTAATAATTACTGTTAGCACTTGTATAACAATTTTAATAGTAAAGCACTAATACTATTGCTACAGTCATTAAAGTTTCCATAAACGGTAAGAACTGAATTTACAAATCTAAGATTTCATGCTTAACATCAGTGGCTACTCCACTGGCTCACTAACTACTGCTGTAGTTGAGTAAGAAAAGGGACTGAGGAGAGTAGCAATGGTATAATGTCGATTACCAGCATCATTAGCTGTGAACACCACCTGGAAAAAGAAGAAACAAATACAAGACAAATGACAAGTCTGAAACAGTAATCTCTGTTTACAAGCCTGGATGGAACTACTGTGATCATTTAATCTGACCTCCACAAACTTTGAAAATATCTCTTCTTGTGATGACGGAACAACTGTGACTGCCTGTCATACGCTTTTTCCAGTGGTCAAATATCCTTTGTTAAAAGCATACATATCATTTAATTTTTTTATTATTTATTGTCTTATCAAACACATTTATTATCCAAATTGGGCTTTCCTTTATTGATTCTTCACTGGACTAAACAAAATATGATGCCTACTGAGGCTCATTTTTAGGAAAGGAAGTTCTTACACCCTAGAGTAAATTCATTCCCAGTGTGGAATGTAGACTAAAACATTCTCTTGATGTATAATCAATTTACCTGCCTATTGCAAGTCTTGCAGTGTACGTCTCTTATTCATTACCTTACTCTCTTATTTCAGATAACATAGAAAACAAGACTGTCCAGCATTGACCTTCATTATTGTCTAGAGTAAGAATGTCATCTGTTACCCACTTCAGGGAGGCAGAAACAAAATTTAACCCAGGTGCTTGCTGCCTTATCCCCAAGAAGATGAGGAATGGCTGTTTGAGCAGCAGTTGCAAACTGCTCAGTTGTTAGTGGTCACTGCATCTGTCACAGTCCAGCAAATAACCAAAACAGGACTGCTGCTGCTCTGAAAAGGGATGTGGAAGGATTGGTGGTGTAGGCAGGAAGGGGGTAGCCCCAAAGGAGTACAAAACCCTGGATCTGGCCCCCGATTAGTACCAGGTTTGGACCACTCCCATCTAACTAATTTATCTATCCCATGCAGATTAAAAAGGTCTATTCTGCTTTGTCTGCTGTAAACCGAGGATCCAAGCATTCAGAAAACAGTTCACACTTCCACTATATTTAAAAGTCTAAATAGTAATTTTTTATGCAGCTGTACAAATGCTGGATCCAAAAAGGTAGGAACATCCTCTTCCCAGGAGGCCTGAGAGTAGTCCATCTGTTCTTCAGGTGTATAGAAGTAGTCTCAGAATGAAACACAGGCTTAGGTAGAGGCAGAAGAATGGGAAGTCTTTTCATAAGATTCGTAAGATAAGTTATTGGGGAAGCTAGTAACTAGAGTCTTTCAGGAGCATGTTGTTACAGAGCTTTGAGGTTGCGGATTTAGAAGTGTTAACAATAAAATATTTTAAACAGAAAAGTAGTTTGAATACATGCAGTTATTGTTGACGCTTAGATGTATATGGTTATTGTGCTAGTAAAAATATGGAAGAAAATGAATACTCACATCAGCATATTGATGGAATGGGTTCAGGCCCAGTCCCTTCCAGTAAGAGGCTGTATCAAACTCAATCTTGTATATCCCTGTTACAAATTGTTCTTTAGTTGTGAGCTCGTGGAACTCTCCATTCTCATTGGTTTGTCTGGGTGATGACAGAAGAAAGCATTTTTATATTTTGGTTAAAAGCCTCAAGAAAATGCACTGCTTAATAATTGAACTTGAATGATAATGTGTAGCGTAAGGAATATGATGAATACCTCTATTGATCTGGAATGGCTCATTGTCCCATCTGCATTATGGATGCCTTACAGAGCTTGCTTTGGCATTTGCTACTTCTGTGATCACTGCAGATGGCTGCCTGCCATATTACTACTCTGCATGGTTTGGAGTTGAGCCAAAAGCTGGTGTTACTCTAAGTTCATAGACTCTTAGCAGAGTCTTGGAGTGAATGAAATGAACCTTCTACCAGAGTACACACAAGGAGAACCTCACCACTGCAATAAACATTGTGTAAATCCTGTGATGTACTTACTATGCTTAGTAAATAGGATCAACTTCCTTGATTTCCTTGGTGGAGTACCATGGAGTTATTTTATCAAGATAAATATTTTTTTCAGTCAGTTATTTGAAATTTGAGACCTACTGTTTGAAATTACTGTAGGTCGACCAATAGCGTAGTCTTACAGAGTTCCTTGATGTCTGTATTCATTAGTCAGTGTTCTGTCCTCAACAAACACATGATTTTGTTTGTTTTACAGATGCTAGCATTACTAACCAAGGCCCTTACTACTGGCTTGAAACTGTAGACCTTTGAACACCAACCAATTTGTAATTCCAGAACCAATATTGAATTCTGTCTCTCCAGCATAGCTCTTGGTTGAAACTTTCTACTTCTGTGAAATAAGTTACATAATATTAGTATTTTGATCAGGTAGGTCATCCTCAGACAACAATGCAGCTAATGCCTAATTTTAGTAGGCACAAACCACTACTTTAAGTTCTTACTGCAGAATTTTCTTCTGAACACATTTTATTCAAATAGCATGCAAAAATAAAAAAAAAAAAATGTTATTTATATCATTGTCCCAGTACATTATTTAGAATTTGTGCTTTAATATAGCTTGTAACTATGGAGTAGCAGAACACCAGTTTCATATTCCAAAATGCTCTACAGTCAGTTATGAGATTTTTTTTTTTTGATCCATTCAAGCACCTCTATATTTTTCCTGGTCATGGTTTGACCATTGTTAGATAATTGTGCATTTATCTAATAAACTTTCTCAACTAAAGCCAAACATTTCTTTTTTTGAGAACAGTAATATTTTGCTATAGACTCTGGGAATTACTTGTTAATATTCTGTTCTTTGCAAACCAATAAGGCTAGAAAGGTTTCTGTCTACCTTGAAGTTAATCACTTCTTTGATTTAGTATTATCACATATTTACACACCTCACCATAAAGTTACTTTATGCTGTTTGTATCAAATGTTAAGTATGTCTTTAAGGTTCCAAGGAAGCATCCAGCTCTTCAGCCCAGTATCTTTATGTGAAGCCTCTAAGCTTAGATTTTAAGACAAGTAAACTGAACACCCGTTTAACTGAAAATTATTCGTGTTTCCAGTGATAGAGTATGTGTGAAGCTATCCCCTCACCTGAGGGCTGAGAGTCATTTTTATTTAAGCAAGACAACATGAATGGATTTGTTTTTCCTCTCCTGCAAATATATGTAGTTTCAACCTTAGCTACTTTTTTAAGGACACGTTGAGAGCACTGTTGCTTCTCACAGCCCACTGTTCTGCTATACCAAAGAGCTGCTTATGTACAGTTTTTTGCGGGCTTTCTACAGGTGCATCTGAGGCTGGGATGCCACTACTGAAATTATTGCAGTATCAACTTTAGCTGTTATGTATCTACAAGAATAGGCTGTTAAGAGTCATGGAAAGGTCTTGGGTAGGACTTCGCAAATATCTTAGGCAGATGAATGTGAAAGAGGAATGCTACTGGCTAAGTAGAGAAATATGTAAAAGAATGTTTATTTTGGATACCCATTAACATTTTTTTCCAATTTCCTTTCGTATTATACTTCTTAAATAAGTAGAAATCACTTCTGAGTTTTGAAAATGTTAGTATTTGCTCATATTGAGGGCAATTTCAAAAGAAGTCATTCTCATTTAAAATTATACAATGACTTTTTTTAAAAAACCCAGAGCAATGTTTAGACATCTGAGAGGTTTTTTGTTGTTGTTTAATTATGGATATAAAAGTATCTCTGTCAGGGAAAAAGATTTATCCCAACATGTTCTTGTTTTGGCTGGTTCCTTTTCCTAGAGACAAAAGTGGCCACCAGTTGTGATTTGTGATATGTTCAACACAATTCCATGCTTCATTTTTAAAGCTGTAGTCTTGTAACGAATGAAAATCCATTTTGGAAGAAGTAAAGTATGCAATAACAGTAGAATTCTCAACCAGAGTCTTTACTTTCAAGCAATTCTCCTCAAGAAGGAGTCTGCCTGACTGCTAGTAATAGTGCAGTAGTTCATCAGTGGATACTAAGAAGTAATACAATCCTTTATGATTAAATTGAAGAGAAAGAATGATTGAATTAAAGGACAGTTTTAAACTACCTTCTTGAGCTTACAATGACTATAAAGTATTATAAAACCAGTCTGGTAGTTTTTCAACCATATTATAGTTAAAAGACACCCCACAGCAAATAAAATGTAATTAATTCAATAGCAGATTAATTTATCTCTGACTAAAAATGACATGTACAGAATATGAAAGTGTTTTTTTCAGTTCTTTAACCTCTTCTGTTACCTTTCCCTTTTCTTATGCACTATGTCTGTGTAACTTACTTTGAATTTAGCAGTTCCCAAGATCCATCTGCAGCTGCTTTATATAATTTAATTGGAACGTTTGGAGCTGGACTTCCCCGAACTGAATCCAGAATTTTCACATTGAGAGGATGCTTGGAATCAGCAGAGCCCTTCAGGTAGAAAGAGAGGGAGAATTTTTGCATTGTAAGTTAGGTAAGAGATGGGGCATAACGAAGCAGTAAGGAATGTTATTCTTTAGATACTGTCTTTTTCTTAACTAGCTCACTGTATACTACAAAAATGTAGCCTAACAGTTGCTGGAGGCAATGTAAACAGAGAGGAAAATGTCAGGAGCCTGTAGAGAGGAGCATAGTGCCATGCACTGTGAAAGCATTCGTATTTGTGCTTGAGAGCATGCTTTTATTTTCCCATTGGGATGGTTCATCTGCATGTTATCTCCAGGTTAAAGTTGCAACCGGATCATGAATAGAGAAGTTAAATCCTCAAAGGTAGTAGAAACATTTGAAAATCTGGCAGCTCTTCCTCCTTATTTTGAGTGGCAATTACAGCATAGCTTTCAATTTGAAAGCCTCTGATGTGTGTGAAAGCCTGTCTTGTTGCCGTAGACTTATCTTAATTGTGCTGTAAACTCGATAAGCACCGCATGCAGTCTCTTAACATCGTTTTGGGTCAGACTGATCAGCTCTTGGAAACTATGTGGAGAGTAGGTGATGAAAATGTACAGAAAAACATATTTCAAATATGGGATTATTGCAGTTTCACTCCGAACATGCTCATCATAAGCAGTGGTTATGCCCTGAAGTTTTAGCCATTCCAAGGTAGAGTTGAATCAGGATTTTGACCTTCTGTCATCTAATTCCTTAGATGAAAAGTGGGAAAGTAGAGCTTTGTGGAAAGTACCAGTCAGGGATTATCTAATAATAATGATGATTGACCTCCATTTACTCATCGCAAAAAGAGTCAATCATGCAAACGATAAAACTTTAAAACTCTCTTCTACATCCCCTCCTAAGGCCTGTGATGTACTGAATATGCTTTGTGCCAGGAAACCTGTCCTGTGTCAGACAAATGTTATCTGTGTTTAACTGATAAGCCTATATGCCCTGACTCTTTGTGTTCTCTTTCTCGAATGCATAGCCTCCTTGCTAAAGTTTCTTTTGAAGGCATTGGCAATGAGGTCTCTATTGCCACCACCTATTTTCCTGTTTTCTCCACCCCAAGAGCTCAATGGAAGTGGTCTACTTTCTCACAAAGTGTACCTTACTTTGAATTTAGCAGTTCCCAAGATCCATCTGCAGCTGCTTTATATAATTTAATTGGAACGTTTGGAGCTGGACTTCCCCGAACTGAATCCAGAATTTTCACATTGAGAGGATGCTTGAAATCAGCAGAGCCCTTCAGGTAGGAAGAGCGGGCTCTTCCTCACAAAGACTGGTCAGGCACTGCTTTTCTCAAACATCAGAACTTGAGAGGAAGAGGAGAGAGAGATGAGTCTGTTCTAGAAGACTTTCAGACTGAAGAGTCTGCATGTCTTGCTTCCTTTGCAGGAATAAATGAGCCTTCTGGAAGTGTGGGGCAGAGAAATGAATCCTAGCTTGGATTCCTTATTTGCTTGCACCAATGAGTGTGAGACCCTTTTTCACTTGCATGAGATAGATCTTTGGTGAGCAGAGCAATAATGGAGAGGACTAGAAAAGAGAGAGAATTACTCCAGCCTGAATTTCTTCAGTCAGTGTAGCTAAAACCAATGTGGAAGGAACCACTGTATAGCCACAAAGAATGCTAGACTGTATGACACTGCCAGAACTGCCTTGAAATCCTTCATGACAGGGGTTTGTTCACTGTGTTATAAGGGTTGCAGTTGCCTTTCAACAGACCCAAGGATTTTGTCATGAATATGATATTTTTTCCCTCTTGGTCTTGCACCCTTTTTCATGAGGTTACTGAGTCCATATAAGTGCCTTTTACCTAACCAGAAAGCCCTCTCATTAATGGCTAGAGGAGGAGAAAGAATAAGAGCAGCAGGAGAGAATTACAGTCAACATATATTGCAAAATCAAAATCATTGCAATAAAATTGAATGATCACTTATACTGAATATAGTAATTTTAAAAATGGGAGCGGCTACATCAATATGAAGGACCTCAGTCCTAAAACACTTACCAGTGGTGCAGCTTTGGAGAAAAATGCCAGGCCAGCTAAGAAAACAAGAGAGACAGAATGAACAGCCATTTTGCCTATCAATAGGAAGCCTCAATGTCAGCAAGTAGAAACTAACAGGATGAGTGATTTTATAGCAAGGCCTTTAAACTGAGGCTGCTTATCAGAAAGCCCATATGACTTTCAACATGCTCATTCTTACTATTTACTTAGTAAACAATGAGAAAATAAATAACCTATACAAACATGAACCTTGTCTATGAAAATATGTCTGCTGTATCATTGCTTGTGGAAACAATGTGAGTATCGCCTAGCTCAACCTCAGGGATCTGTTTTCTAGGAAGCGAAGTATATTCCGTTTAATTTTTCTCTCTTTTCTTGAAGAATTATGCTCTATAGACCTCTCAATTTTAAGAAATATAAATTTCTTCTCAAATCAGAAATTTCAGCTCCAGTTAAGGATTTATCTGTGGCTATAGCGTGGGATAATTAACCTACCCATGTTTATCTCTCAGGAGATTTCTCTCTGTGATGGCTTTTTTTTTTCTTCTCCTCATCCTTGATGAGAGGTAAGTCTAAAATGAGTCTAGGCTATTTAGTTATTTTATGCATTCCCCTGGAGGAAAAATGTGTTACCTTTGGCTTCCACCATTGCAATTAGAAACATGCATTTCTGGAGCACGTTTTAACAGTATTTTAACTCCTATCACTTTTGCTGTGCCTTAGATTCACTGCAACTGCAGGACTTTACCTGTGCAATTGTAAGTCAGCCCCCACCAGAAGTCTCTGCTTCATTTTAGGGAAATGTTACTTTTTAAAATGAGACTTTGTCTTTCTGGTCTTTAGTTAGGCACACATACATTTACTCTCTTATGAGGTTCATTCTGCCTCTGGTAGGTAACTAACCTGCAGAATAAAGACGTTAACCTGATTTGAGTTGGATCTTTGTTGTACTTTTTTTTTTTTTTTAAATGAGTACACCATGACCATAGCAGCATATTTACATCTTATTTAGGGGGCTGAACGTAGCCCACAGCAAATAAAACCTACTATTTTCAAGCTCTAGGATTGGAAGGATCCCATGAAAGCTGCATACTTTGAAATGGATGCTATTTTAGAACTATCTTCTGCATTGTTTACAAGAGTTGTGTAACCAAGGTAGAGTCCAGAAATCAGGGAGAAAAGTAATCAAATAGAGAATTGTTAGGAGCAAACTTTTGTAACGTGTGAATTCAGCTGGTATGTAGTCAACCCAGCAGGCTCTCAGTGTAAAGAGGGTAAACTCCAAGGTCAGTGGCAGATGAGTACTGACTTTCTTAAAGGCACCGTTTCATTAGTGATCTCTATAGTTTCTGTAACCCCATTAAACAACAGTTCCTCTACTTCAGGATATTTTAAATGAAGCAAACCATCAGGCTGCAGAAGTCACTACCAAAGCCCTCAAGCTCTCTAATCAGTTTATTAACAAAATTATTTGGATCATAGTCACTCTATAGCTTACCTTTTCCTCCTTCTGAAATTGTGAAGAGAATATTAAGATAATGCCTCTATTTTAGATTTTTTTAATAAAAGCTAGAGATTTGACTGCATAGAAATTTAATTGGAATGTACTTGAATACAGTAGCAAACTAGGTTAAAGATCAATGTTGTTAAAAATTGGGGCTAACTGAAATACTTCAGAACTCCTAGACTCCACCAGCAGTAGCCTTTCTGTTTGGAGCTGGCAAAGTGCTGAGATTTGTCTAAAGTTTTAAGTGAAGGTACACAGATTTTTACTCTTTCAGCTCTTTAGAGATACATATTTTAACAATCCTTCTATATTGTTTATTCTTCTATTAGGTATTCAAAATTCCTCCTGTTTAGCCTGTGACCTATTTGATAGTGAGACAGTCTCTGTTGTGTATTAACTATGAATAGCATGGATCACTTTCTTATTTTGGGCCAATGTGTGTTTGGTTACATTTTTAAGGCAGCATAACTTTCTTATTTTGAGTCAATGCATGTGGTCAGATTTTTTAAGGTAGTGGAGGAATTTAACACGACAAATTGAGAGTTAATTTGCTTCTGTATGTCGTGTATGGCTTCCAGATATCCTGTGCATTGAGCACAAACCATGACCCTTTAGAACACAATCAAACTTCAGTAATAGAATCAAAAATATTGTAAAGAAGAAACATTTTATTGACTTGACTGAATTTAGCCAGGTTACAAAATGATAAAACTAATGTAGCAAAAAGATAAGCCATTGGCAATAGGAAAAATTTTCCTCCTAAAAGCTTATAATAGTTCTAGCAGAGGAGGATATTTGTGTAATGACAGTACATATTTATTCCTGGGGATCACTGACAACAGCAGTGGTTGAATATGAGAAAGGACTGAGGAGAGCGGCAATGGTGTAATGGCGGTGACCGGAATCATTAGCAGTGAACACCACCTGGAAAAGAGAAAACTTGTGGTCACCATTAACAACATATGTTCAAAACTACCTTAACAGTTAGATTTAGGAAGTAAGCTCTATTTCCTGTGTATAAAACTTTGCTGGGTTTGTTCACTCAGTAGTTGTACTTTTGTGAAGTAGGTAGTCCTAAAAAGAGATGGTTCCTCTAAGAAAGTAATTATTTCAAAACTAAAGATATGCTGAAGCATTCAGAGGTGACTCAAAGCCTGTTGAAGTCAATGGAACTCCCACTGATTACACTAGGTTTTAAAGTCCCAGTTTGTAAGGCTTGCTGGAGACAAGGAATTTGAAGGATTTGGCCCCAGGTCCACAAAGAGACTTGGCCACGGTGAGGCTAGGAGGTACCTAGCTCTTGTATCAGGCATGCATGTTTCTAGCTTGTGAGATAGAGCGGGAGGGGGAGGGGGAGGTAACTCAAGCAACCAATAAGAAGGATAAAGAGGTGAAATTTCATATATCGAAATTTCATATATTAAAACTCCTGTGTGAGGCCTCCAAGCAAGGCAGGCAGCTGGAGCCAAAAGCTGCTTTCTGTACTTCAGTGCCTGTCTTTTGTTTTTAACACAGCTGGTGATGGGGCAGTGCTTAATGCAAGAACCTAGTGCCTGGACTTGCTGGAACAGGGAAAGACTCAGGCTATCCTTGTCCTAAAGAAATTCAAATTTGCATTTCTCAGAATCAGGAGCTTGGAACATCCAGGTCCCAGAAAAATGCCTTCATCTGGATTGAGCTTCCACTTTCTTCAGCTCTCTTTAGTCTAATACTTGAATTATCTTCTGCGCCATGACATAATTTCTACAAGAGGACTAGAGAGTTTCCTCCCACGTCCCAGTCCTCATTGGTAAGAGGTGAGAGTTGTAGGCTTGAATTACTTTTATGCAGTCAATGAACTCTGCTCGCTTTCTGGACTTGGGCACTGACCCCTAGGCTATTATGTCAGAGGAAGGCATCCTCTGGAATAGGATGGCCTAACTGGAATAGTCTGAAGCAGGCTCTTTTAAGCACCTTTGCAAGCGAAACTCTTAATCCCAAGTATCTTTCAGACATCCAAATGGTTAGGGGATATTTTCAAGAACTGTTTATTAGACTTAAGTCATGTAAGTTGTACCTCAGACTTTTTTGGATCTGGGCCACAGGCACTTATTAGTCTTTAAGGAGCTTCACAAGCTGGCAAGTTAAAATGTTTTGCAACATATTCTCTAGTGTTTCTAGACCTCTGAATAGAGTATTTAGGGAAATTTAAATTTAATGGTATAATAAGCCACAAGAAAGTCAGCAAACTTTTTGAAAATACTATGTAAAGATCATAGAATGGAATACATAATAAATCACTATTGGGCTGGAAGCAAAGAAATGCATAAAATATTGATGGCCTTCTTAAGAAATCTGAATAGCATTGAAACTGTTAGCTTACTTTTCTTTTCTCACTTTGGTTGTTTCTTTATACTTTCAATGTATTTTTTTCTGTTGCGTATTTCAGTCCTGAGCATTGTTAAAAATACAATACTGAGAAAAAATGTTTTTCTCCTCTAGTTATAGATCATATTGGAATGACCTAACCATCTGAGAAATAAGAGTAATTCCCCTGATTTAAGAAGAGTTCTTTTCCTGTAAGATGGTAGTTTCCAAATGTCTACATTCTTTCAGCAAAAATAAAAACAGTCAATGGTTTTTTTGTTCCTCCCCTCTTTAAGATGATGTGCTGTTGAGTAATGTACCTCTTTTTGGATAAAGGTCCCTGCTGGTGTAAATATGCATAGGACTACTTTGAAAGAGCTGAATCAGTTTGTATTTGCACAGAAGCTGGCTACTTGCTTTGGCTTGGTGGATTATGAACTGTCTTTATTTACACAATTTTATGTGGAAGTAAACTATTTCACTGAATGATGTTGGTCTTTCAGTATTAAAGCACTGTATTTGTTCTTTCCAGCTAACGCCGCTACACAATATAGAGATTATTAGGTATATTTGAAAATACTCACGTCAGCATATTCATGGAATGGAGAAAGGCCAAGTCCCTTCCAGTAAGAGCTGGTGTCAAACTCAACCCTATATACTCCTTCTACAAACTGTTCTTCTGTTGTGAGTTCATGGATCTCTCCATATTCTGTGGTTTTCCTGTAATGATAAAATATCTCTGTAAATATTTCGTACTGTCATTTAGACGCATAACAGAAACAGTCACTGTGGAATATTAAATAGCACAGATCCTGACAGCCAAGTTTTACAATGAATCATATACAATTCTACACTGGATTCTACATCTAATCATCAGAAGTATATCCCTCCTTCTGTGTAGTGTATGGGCCCACAGAGCCTGTCCTTGCTACCAACTCATCCCTATACATCACAAATCAAAGCTGGCTGGCTTTTTTGGTCATTTCTGTTGCTATGGCAGGGATTATAGCTAAGGCTCCAGTTTTAATTTTGTGTTTAATTTGTACCAAGTGCCCTCTAGAACAAATGTTTGGTGGTTTAGGAGAAGGATGGTCATAATGAAAGGCAAGATGCCAAATCTCAAATGGTAATTAAAGAGAAAATGGAAATTTTAATGGGAAATGATTTTATTCACTAATTATTAGTCTTGAGGACTAAAGGTTTTACATCTGAACACTAATGCATTTTTATGTGACTCTGAATGATAGCATCTTGGAACAGTGATTTGGCATCACAAGATTTTATTAATTTGAATAACAAGGCCTTGGTCAAAGAGCAGGGGCCTTTTCTACTAGGTGCCATGTGAATGAGGAACAGGAGTTCCCAGCTCAGAGAGCTTATGGACTCAGCTTGTAACAAAAAACTAAGTGAATGACATCCAGAAGCAAGAGGAAATAAAGCTGGCATTGCACCTCATTTATTTAAAAAAGAGCAAGCTTTCTATGACAACTATCATACAATATTTGCATATTTGTCTATTAAAGCCCCCTTTTCTCTTCTCCTTCTCAGTTTGTTGTATTTCTGAAATTTCTTGACAATTTTTATATCTATCTTTATATTTTTTTTCCTCTGGAAATCTTTATGGAACATTTCCACGTTTTATAACTGCCTAACGTAGCTGAAGGAAGAATAAAGAAAACTTTGGCTTGAAGAATTAATAGGACTTGCCAGTCCTATGGCAAGGAGTAGAAAACAGAACAGTATGAGAAGGAAGAGAAGGAGGGGAGAACGAAGCAAGCTGCTGCTTGTCAGAGAAAGAAACAACTGTGCTATTGTGACTTTTATTTTCTTTCCCAGTCACCTCCTCCCTTGTTTTATTTGACTATCTTTGGTTAATTGCTGTGAAAGATGAAAATTCTGAATGATGGAGCTTTTACTTAATTTAAGAAGTGGCAGGATTGAAAATCCTGTGGTAGTTCTCAGGTTTTCTTATATCTGAGCTGTAGCCCTTTGAAGCCTGGCAATGTCTCCCTGGTCCAGCATAAGCAAAATCAACTGTATCCAGAATAGACCGAATCTACAGAGTATCCAAGCCCTATTTGAAAGATGGTTCATGGGCAGTGTGAAATGCACATATTTATTTTATTTTGTTTTAAATTCTTGGCTTTACTTTTATTGCCTTTAAAAAAGGCTGAAGAATTCACTGGTAAGTGCTCATGTATCTTTGAAATTGTAAAATTTCAAGAGTACAAGAGTTCAAGAGTACAAACCAACAATTCACATACAATTATTTAGAGGTTGGATAGTCTAGACATAAACCAATTCAAATGAAAAATGGTGTCTGACCCGAAATCTTTGTTCAGGTAAGCAAATGAATTTCAATTTGAGAAAAGTGTGGATACAGCTTGAACTTTCTATAATTGGCTGACCCAATGTCACAGATGTTAGCAACCCAGAACAGTCGGGCAACTGGAAAAAGAGATTCTTTTCCACTACTCATAGTTAGAGGCACTTTTTTAATTTTAGTTATTAAGTGATATCCATCCAGTGTTAGTGCTCTCACAGACACATCCTTCAGAATTACTGCTGTGTTGACAGCCAACAGGATAAAGTGATTCAGAGACTTGACAAAAAAGGCACAAGATAGAGTGATTCCTTTGGAGCATCACTTGTATATTTCTGTCTGAGCAGGGGGATAAATTCAATATGGTTGTTCATCTTTAATAAGCTGTGGACCATCAGCATCTGCTATAAGATAGACATACTTCTAAATTAAGAGCTGAGTTTAAAAAGCTGTGGTTTTCCAGCAAAGAATTTTCAGACCTCCATCTAAGATACTATGGCTGCAGCCTAGACTTCAACCTTCTTGTCCCTTATCCTGATTCTCTTTTTCACTGTGTCTGGACCTTAGCTGAATATTGTGACCAGATTAAATCTATACTAGTCTGTGCAATGACATTCGTGATCTATTGAGACACAAACTGTGTTGCAATAAACTGTACCTTCAGAGATAGCAGACTTCTGAGGAAATATCTCTACAAGATGCATTATTGTCTGAAGTTTAAAAAAAAAAAAAAGAAAGAAAAGGAAGGGGGAAACCACTCCAAATGTGCTGCAGGTTTTTTTGATTGGTTGTTTTTTTTTTGGATGATTCAAAGCTTAAGTCACATAAGAACTATGTTTTGTGAATACAAGTCTTGAACTACATAGTGAGATCTAGATTTCCAAAAACATGAG